TGGGGGGGGGGGGGATGTGGGAGCTGCACAGCCTCATGGGGGCTTGGGTGAGAGGAGGTGGGGGCGCAGAGGAACCATGCAGCCTCATGGGGGCTTGGTTGGGGTATGGGGTAGCCGCGGTGGCTTGGGTGGGGGGAGGTGCGGGGGCTAGGGCAGGTGGTGTGTGGGAGCTGAAGAGTCTCCCAGGGGCTGGGGGAGAGCGGTGTGCAGGACATGTGCAGCATCGCCTGTGGTCTGCGGGGAGGAGGCACATGGGAGGAGTGTGGCCTTGCCCCTCACAGGCTGGGGCTCAGAGCTGTGTGATCTCCCCACTCGTCTTTCCCCGCCTCCCTCCCCCCTTCCTGCCAGAGAGAGAGGGCGGGGCCAGCCATGGCCTTGGTCCAACCCAACCCCCTAGCAGCCAGAGAAGAGAGAGCTGGGGCAGGCCAGGGCTGCTACGCCTTGACTTGGCCTTCCCCAGTAGCTGGAGGGAGAGCCAGGGCTGCCTACCTCCGGAGAGAGGGGTTGGTGAGCATAGCAACCCCGCCTCCCTCCCCCCTTCCTGCCAGAGAGAGAGGGCGGGGCCAGCCATGGCCTTGGTCCAACCCAACCCCCTAGCAGCCAGAGAAGAGAGAGCTGGGGCAGGCCAGGGCTGCTACGCCTTGACTTGGCCTTCCCCAGTAGCTGGAGGGAGAGCCAGGGCTGCCTACCTCCGGAGAGAGGGGTTGGTGAGCATAGCAAGCAGGGGATACTGCCCCTTAGTAGTATGAAATAAAGTTTTGTGTTTAAATCCGAAGTTCGCTCTGTTTGAGTTGCTCTTAAATCCTGTGGTAAAGTTTAGCGCACTCAGTGGTGTATAGGTCCTTTCTCTGAATGAATAAATATTAGTACTGATCCTGCAACTGATTGTGTGTGGGCAGATCCTACGCTTAGTTTGACAAAACATAGAACTTCACCAAGTCATTCCTATCTTAAACCCAATAATATATGATTTATCTAGATCATATCTTTTAAGAAAACATAAAATCTCAAGACTTCAGGGAGTGGAGAAACCATCATACGTAAGATATTCTAGTGATTAAGAGCTTTGATTGTTTTAAGGAAAAAACGTTCATTATTTCCAATTTGAATTTTTCTAGCTTGAACTTCTGGACATAGAATTTTGTTATGCATTTGCTTACTACATTAAAGAATCCACTGCTACCAGGAATCATCTCTCTCTGTGTAGGAATTGACAGACTGTGATCCAAGTAGGCTCTTAACCCTAACTTCAGTAAAATAGATTGATCTCTTTAAAGGATTGAATCTCTCTGTAAAGTGTGTCCTCCAAACCTTAAATTATTCTTGTAGCAATTCTCTGAATGCTTTCCAATTTTCAACATTCTCTTAAGGTGTGAACATCAAAACTGAACACACTGTTAAGCAGTAGTCCTACCCATGCTATATAAAGAGAGAATGCCAATAAGCTTTGATCATGTCATTTAGGGTGCATCTACACAGAATGGCTTAATTCAAACCTTGAACTACATCAGTTGCGTAGCTTTTTACGAAATAGCTTATTTTGAAATTGAGAGCATCTATACAGCACTTATTTTGAAATAGAGCACTCTTTTCTGACTTCCCTTACTCCTCATACAATGAGAGTTACAGACATCGGAGTAAGAAGTCATCCAACTTGACAGTAGTTTCACATTTTGAAATAAGTGCCTGCTGTGTAGGCGTGAACCAAGTTATTTCGAAATAACGCTAGTTATTTCAAAAAAAGTTGCTTTATAGATGTACACTTAGTTACCTCCCTTGACCCCCCAGCCAGTAAATATGGCTTACATTTTTCCATCCTGCATGTAGATCTTGCATTTGACTCTTCAGGTTGCACCTCTGTAAACCGAAACTCTCTGGTCTGGCAACATCTGTGGTCCAGCATGATCGTAGATGTTTCAGGATTAGAGAATCTCGGTGGGCTGCAGTGGGATTGTCTTGAGGCCCTCTTTGGCTCATATTCTTTCTATTCTTTTGTGCTCCAAATAATTTTTTTTTCTGTTTGGTTGTGGTTTGACTAATCCCACAAAATGTTTTGATGCCATATAATGGTTTAGGAAATTTTGACTCTTGATGCCAGGCACCATAATATAGTTTTTTTTACCAGTCCTCCTCTCTAATGCCACTGCATGGTAAATGTTTTATTTTTATCATTGGCACCAATACCCTTTGTTTCAGAGTTGCAGGGAAGTTTTATGATTCGATGTTTAGTGAATCAGATTGGAGTCAGAGGGTTTGGGTTCTGTCATCAACTCTTTCATTGTCTCACTGAGAGCGCATGCAAGTCAGTTTACATTTCTGTATTTGACATCTGTAAAATAGAGAAAAATTATACTTATCTATCTTTGCAAAGTGCTTTGAGATGTGTGGGTGACACATTCTATGCATTGGTAATTAAACAAAAATAAGAATGGCCATAACGGGACAGACCAAAAGTCCATCTAGCCCAGTGTTTCTTAAACTGTGTTCTGTGGCACACCGGTGTGCCGTGAGGCAGTCGGAGGTGTGCCGCGGAGAGCAACAGAATTGAAAATGGCCACCCTTAAAGGTTTTTTTTAAAACCGAGGAACACCAAACAATTTTTTTGAGGAACACCAAGGCCCTCAATAACTCCTCCCCTCACCCCTGACCTTTTTTTTTTTCCCTCAACAAAAAAATCCTTGGTATTCCTCATTAAAAAAAAATATTGTTTGGTGTCCTTAAAAAGTTTAGGTGCCCCTGAGGGAATCAACAGAACAGGTACTCATGAAGTGATCCACCTGTCGCCCATTCCCAGTTTCTGACAGAAAGAGGCTAGGGACACCATTTCTACCCATCCTGGCTAATAGGTCCATTAATGGCTATCTAGCTCTCTTTTGAACCCTGTTAAAGCCCTGGTCTTCACCACATCCTCTGACAAGCACTTTGACAGGCTTACTGTGCACTGTGTAAAGAAATACTTCCTTTTGTTTTAAACCTGCTACCTATTAATTTCATTTTGGTGACCCCCAGTTCTTGTGTTATTGGATCAAGTATATTTCCTTATTTACTTTCTCCACACCAGTTATGACTGTGTAGATCTCTATCATATCCCTGCTTAGTCTTCTCTTTTCCAATGTGAAAAGTCCCAGTCTTCTTAATTTCTTCTCGTATGAGAGCTGTTCCAATCTCTAATCATTTTATTTTCCTTTTCTGCACTTTTTCCAATGCTTGGAGATCTTTTTTGAGATGAGGAGCTCACATCTGCATGCAGTCTTCAAGATGTGGGTGTACCATTGATTTATATATAGAGAAGATATTCTCTTATTATTCTCCATCCCTTTCTATATGGTTCCTAACTTCCTTTTTGCTTTTTTGACTGCACTGTGCATTGAGTGGATGTTTACAGAGAACTATCCACAGTGACTTTTAAGAGCTCTTTCTTGAGTAGTAACATCTAATTTAGTCCCCATCATTTTATACGTATAGTTAGGATTATGTTTTCCGATATGCATTACATTGCATTTATAAACATTTAAAATTCATCTGGCATTTAGTTGCCTACTTTTGTGAGATGCTTTTGAAGCTCTTCACAGTCTGCTTTGGATTTAACTATCTTGAGTAGTTTTGTATCATCTCTAAATTTTGCCACCTCGCTGTTACCTTTCTCTTTTCTGAAAACTTACCATTTATTCCTATCTTTTGCTTCTTATCTTTTAACCAGTTATCAGTCCATGAGAGGATCTTCCCTCTTATCCCATGACAGCTTAGTTTGCTTAAGAGCCTTTGGTGAGGGACCTTGTCAAAGGCTTTCTAGAAATCTAAGAACTTTATATCTACTGGATTCCCCTTATCCAAATGCTTGTTGACCCCCTTGAATGAATTGTTGTGGATTGATGAGGCATGATTTCCTTTTACAGACACCATTTTGACTTTTCCCCCAATAAATTATGTTCATCTGATAATTCTGTTTTTTACTGTCATTTCAACTAATTTACCTGGTATTGAAGTTTGATTTATTGGCCTGTAATTGCCAGGATCACCTCTAGAGCCCTTTTTAAAAAATTGGTGTCACATTAGCTATCCTCCAGACATTTGGTGCAGAAGATAATTTAAAGGATAGATTACAAACCATAGTTAATAGTTCCGCAATTTCACATTTGAGTTCTTTCAGAACTCTTACATGAATGTCATCTGATCCTGGTGACTTGTTGTTGATTTTATAATGTGTTCCAAAACCACCTCTAATGATGCCTCAATCTGGGACTGTTCCTCAGATTTGTCACCTAAAAAGAATGGCCCAGGTTTGGGAATCCCCCTCAGAGCGTCAGCTGTGAAGACCGATGCAGAGAATTGAGTTTCTCTGCAATGAACTTATCGTCCTTGAGTGCTCCTTTAGTATCTTGATTGTCCAGTGGCCTTTTGTGAAATTATAAGTATTATCTTTTTCTCTGGTTCCATATAGTACTTTAGTTTTCAGTTCACCACTTCTGCCAGCTTCAGACATATTTATTTGCCGTTTAGGCTTCTTACAAGGATTTATCTTTTATAATAAATTTTAAATCAAATATTCTAGCAAAGTGTGTCTGTTTTTTCCCTTTGCAGCAGAAAAAAATCCCTCTTCTTGAAAGTCTGTCATCACAGGTTTGGCTCTTTTTTCTTAAACTCAAATCAAGACAAAATTAATTTAAATACAGAAGATTTCTCTCCTTCCTATTTCTAATAGCTTTCTATAGCTAGCCTTAAAATCATCTCTTCCATAGATAATTTGCAGAAAAATTATGGTGTAGGGACTGAATTGAAAAAAAGCTAAATGTAATTATTGTAAGCTCTCATCACAAACTAAACTCTGCCCACTTGAGGCCCCAAATCAAGATGCCACTCTCATCAGATTTTTAATGTTTTCATAATGTGATTCTCTCTTTCTCGTGCGCTTTGCATAAATTTATGTCAGTTGATTGCTATCTTAGTATCATATGTTGTATGACCAGCAATAAAATACTGGTAGTTAATTTGCATTTTAACATTGGTATAATTAACTTTAGAATCAACACAACAGAAGTAAAAGAGGACAGCTTTTGCAGATTTTGGTGTAAATCACTAGTTTGATTACACCTGGTTCAAAGACTTAGCTTTCATTTTAAAAAATATTAAAACTCCAGAGGAAAAGATAGTAATATCCAGAAAAAATACTGACATGCTAAGCTGCCAAAAGTCAGCCAAGTTCGATCTCTGAATTTTCATGTAAAAGAACAAATGTAATTTTATTTTAATTTGTTTATAAAATGAAACCACTACTCATATAAGTTAACTATTGTGACCAGTGGTTTGGTTTCTGGAATCTTTGGGGGTTTGACACTATTACTTTGATACTGCATAATTACTACAGAATTCAATAATACTGTTTTTACACAGAAACAAAGTGCACTTTGTTTGTTTTTCCATTCAGATACCCATTTAATTTAATAGAAAAATTATTTTGATTATAGTGATTTTAGAATCGCTCTTGGTATAATCTTCATCTTTTCTTGACAGGAAGTGGAAATGTTAAGTAACTCTAAAGTTATGAAGGAACTAACTGAGGAGCAGCAAAATTTACAGAAAGAACTTGAATCTTTGCAAACTGAGCATGCTCAAAGAATGGAAGAATTTTATGTTGAGCAGAGGGACTTGGAGAAAAAACTGGAACAGGTGATGAGGCAAAAGTGTACCTGTGACTTCAATTTAGAAAAGGATAAAGAAGCTGAGTATGCAGCACAGGTGAGGAAAAGTATTTTGAAGTCTTTTGTGTTTTGTTCACTTCCACCTTGTTAATTATGAAATTTCTAAGTAAAGATAACTATATTAAGCTGTTGCCAGCTCAGCTTGTAAACTTTATTATGAGGTGTATGTTATCTGTACCACTGCCATCTTTCATCTCCTTCTTTGGCCTTTCTCCTTTTGTTCACTTAATGGCAACTCAGCTCATAGGGATAGGACATCTGTGTCCATGGCTGTTAACCAACACTGAACAGGACTAGAGTACAAGAATTCTTTACTGTTCAGTACCTTTCTTCTCCTTAGAGGTTATGCAGTTTTGTTATCTTTGAGGATGCCTGCATTAAATTACCCATATTTCAATAATTCAATAAAAACATGACACTTTAAAAAATGAGGCAAAAATGCAATTATAATAAAATGGTTTTCTTAATACAGCTAGATTTGCACTTAAACTAAATAAAATATTCTCATTGTAGTACAGGGGAAAAAAGAATACTTGTATTTCTTGAAAGCAACCCCTTCTCTGGCCCCACTTTGGTTAGACTGGTGGTTTCCCTTGGTGTCAGAGTCCATTACATTATTAGGTGAGGCCACCTCTACTTTTCATAGAAACATATGATTAAGAGTTCTGTTGGAGAGGAAGGTTACAGTCTGGGTTTCTCATCCCATGACAATCCCATGATTGTCTCTTGATTCATTACCTCTGGAAGGTCCCCCAGCTTTCCTGTCTCTAAGGCTCCTATGTCAAAAGCTGTGGTGACTTTTCACTTTATTAGACTAAATAACTTTTAATCTATATCATTGTTGTTTTCTGTAGGAACTAAGTGCCTGGCATCCTGCTGGAGACTGTTAAAAATCATGTAATAGGACAGGCCTGGGCAAGATAGGGGCCGAATCTGGCCCACCAAGCCACTGGATTTGGCCCAGGCCGGCTCCTCTGCTTTCCCCACACCACTCAGAAAGCAGCTGCGAGGTCATTTCTCTTTAAACCTGAGAGTCTAGAGGAGAAGGGGAAGGCTTCAGGTGTAACTCCCACCCCCAGCACAATCCCATTGGCTGGCTTCTGGCCAGAAATTGGCCAATGGGAGCTTCCTATTTGAATAACAGGCAGCACATGAAGCACCAATCCCCCCTCCACTCCCACCCCCTCCCCCCT